TTTGTATTCATTTTTTTTCTTTCTTTCTTTCTTTCTTTTTTTTTTTTTTTTTTTTGAGAGTGTGCGTGTGCACCAGGGAGGGATGGGTGGGCAGAAGAAGGAGAGAGAATCCCAAGCAGGCTACCTGCCCATCATGGAGCCTGATTTGGGGCTCGATCTCAAGACCCTGAAATCATGACCTGAGTTGGACACTAAACTGACTGAGCCATGTAGGCACCCTATCTGCCTTTATATTTTCTTTCTTTGTCTTCATGGGTAGAAATCTCCTTCACCACCCTTGGTTAGAGTGGAAAAAATGTTTCCTTGTATTTTATTATGGCTCTTTTTGGCAATATTTTTTTCGTGTAACATTTGAATTTATGTTGGTATATGATGTGACATTGAAGAACCTGTGTTTAACGAATGGTTCCCAGTCATCACAGAGTAACTCTTAAGAGAGATGATTGGTAACCTCTAGAACTGCCATCTGAGGTGTCTGTATTGGGAGAGGTACTCCCATGGGCTGGGGGTGGGTTGGTGGTGGGTCATGAACTATATTAGCCCCCAGCCTGGAAGTGGGAGGAGAGATACAGGCTGGTATGTAGCTCCTGGAGTATCCTGGATCCAGTGTCCCCAGCACTGTCAGTAGAGACTTCTCCAGTGGGCCCTGGGGCTTTAGAAAGAAGTCCGATTGTGGGTGTGGAGCTGAGCTCTGGATCTTGGCAGTCCAGCCAGTGACGGGCCACCGCTCAGAGCCTTACATACTGTTCCGAGAGGGTGTCAGTTACGAGCACAGGTAGATGATCTCTTGGGTTGTTACGACTTGACTGTGCAGCCTACCTTTGGGTGTGAACTTGGATTGCTGGGACAGTCGATGTCAGTCCTTTCCATGGGGTATTATAGTCCAGCCCCTCTGCCCTGGGCTCCTCCTCTGTCATGGGCACCCCACCACCACCACCACTTGACCCAGTTGGCTCTTGACTTACAAGACTACACCTTGCTCTCCTCACAACCTTGCACAGTCTCATTCCCACTGACCTGAATTCATTTTCCCTCATAAAGCCAGGTCTTTTTCTTTTTTTTTAATTAGAGGAATAGCTAAAATTCTTATCCTTTCCCTCATGCCCTTCCACTTTTATCAGCTTATTCCTACCAAGCCCCCTAAAGCCCCCATCTCTAGCTGCAGTGTTTGGCTAGCCTCTTTGGTTTCTCAGAAAAGCTCAAAGTGCATGACTCCTCCCTTTTTGCTTCCGAACTGCATTTCTTTCCTTATTACTCAGTGTCCACACCCAGGGCGGTTGCCTGGATAAAAATCTGTCCCTTTCTCCCAGTTACCTTTTCAGGCCAGACATAGGCACCAGTGAGGAGTGGCTATCCACCCAGGCCCAGTTATAAGCTCTTAATTCCTCCACAGCCTAAATTGCTGAGGTCTGAGCCTCTGGATCCTAAGTCTGATTCTCTTTTTCTTGCCTTCTCACTCATCTGCTAAGCTTGTTTACTGGGCACCACAACAAAGTTAATGATTATTCCTGTCTTTAGCCAGAAGGGGAGAAGTTATCTCCCTATCATCACCCATTTCTGTGAGGTTTTCAAGGACTCTGGACCCACTTCCCCAGGCTTGGCTATCCAAAGCAGTCAAGGGAGAACCAGGCCTATTTTCATCCCAGCTGACACTAAGCAGCTTTGTAACCTTGGGTAAGACACCTTCTCTTGGGAGGTTAGACTAGATAATCTCAACTCTTCCAGCTCTGAGATCATATGAGTCTAGGAAGAGGGGAAAGCACATGACTTGATTGTACCTATTTTGTAGGTGGGAGTGGAGGAAGGTAGGTGAGGACTCTGGAAACTTCTGGCTCCTAGGAGCCCACTTCACAGATGACTGATTGAATACCATATGGGATACACTTTCAACAAATCAGTTCAAAATCCCACTCACCATTCATACTGGGCTTGTCAGGAACCAGGTTCAGTCTACTTAATTTCTTCTTATCCTTCGAAAAGTATGATTATCTGCGAACCTAACCTAAATGAGTACATCAGCATGCTTGTAGGGTCTTTGTGTGGTCATATGACGTCTTACGCTGTGTCCAGCATGTCGGTGGTAGAGAGGAAAGCTAGCCTTTACAGGTATTACTGTAGAGTTGAGTTTTGCTTTGTGACCTTTTACCCCATCCTGGCTTACCAAAGGTCACCTGGCTTTGGCTACAGGGATACCTAGCTCAGTGCCTGGCACATGTTAGGCATACAATAAATATTTGTTAAATGAATTGTGCTGTGACCCTGGGTGTACTACTAGTCTTCTGTCTTTTCTTCATCCTGGCTGACTTTCTCTCTTTGGTCCTGTCTTAATTATGATAAATGAAAAGCTCCTTAAAACCACTTGTAGAGGGGATCCCTGGGTGGCTCAGCAGTTTGGTGCCTGCCTTTGGCCCAGGGCGCGATCCTGGAGTCCCAGGATTGAGTCCCATCGGGCTCCTGGCATGGAGCCTGCTTCTCTCTCTGCCTGTGTCTCTGCCTCTCTCTCTCTCTATGTCTATCATGAATAAATAAATAAATCTTTAAAAAAAAAAACCACTTGTAGAATTTGAGAAGTTGGTCTTGACAGGTAGGATATCTTCTGACTTGGGCTTTACTCCCTTTTTGCCATTTCGTTATGTATGCATCTTAGGGGTCAGGAAACTGATTTTCATAGCTCTTGGAGTTGCATATTTATAGATGTCATGCATTGTTGGTGGGGTGGGGTGGGGTGGAAGGCAGTCTCATTAAGGGAATATCTCTAGCTTTGCATATTAAAAAATGGAGGGATTTGAACTGGGCAGTTGGATGCACAAGACTTGAGGAGGAAGAGTGAAATAGAAATCCTTTAATGAGCAAGTACACAATGATGAGTGGCCCAGGTGTCTTCCCGCTCCAAAGGTCCTAAGCACCTAGAAGCATAAAATAGAACTTCAGGTATAACTTTTTGGAGATGGCCGGGCTTTGGATCATTCCCACAAAGTGCTCACCTTTCTGCTGAAACATCAGAAGACTTCTTTTCGCTTTCCTTTGAATGAATACAGTTGCCAGCTTCTACCCTAGTTCCATCCCTTTGGAACAAGAAGCCGGGGCTAAAATGTTAAATGGCTCTCTATTCATTGCCCTCTCCGTTTACATCCCCACTGTTAAGTCTCCCAACTGCCCATTCCCCAGTTGGGGAAACCCTGACTGGTAAGAAATTCTGTTCAGCCATTTTTAGGCTCCTGTAGGCAACAACAGGCTCAGAAAAAAAAGCTTATTTTCTAAACCCTTACTTTTGCCTAACATCCCCTGGCTGCTGTCCCCACATGACCCAAATAAACAGATGATCATGTGAAGCCAGTAAGGCTGTTTGTTTTAAATAGCAAGCATCTCCACTAAGCTCTGGAGCAGATGGGGTATTGGGGGCAAGGGAGAGGCTGCCATTTGACTCTGTTCACCCCACTTTTATCTCTTGCTTGCCCACTCCCAAAATAAAAAGTGTCTTTAGAATGCTCCCTTTCAGAGGAGTGCCTTTTTAATGGAATAGAGCTGGCATCTGACAAGAAGAGTCAAAAATTGGACTTCAGCCTCTACAAGAGACTTCAGGGCTATGAGCACTTGAGGAAGGCAGAAGGTACAGCTGGATGGAGTTCTCTGAGAATCTTGGGCCATGACAGAGTACACAGTGTTGATCCCAAACAAAATATGGTCAACAAGATGATTTCAGGTGGCTATTATGTATATTACATACCCTGTTTAGCACCCCACCCCAACACACACATCTGGTATTGCCTTTAAACTGTGCTGTTCTTTGGTTGTACAGAGGGCCAGGCCCAGCCACACTAGTAGCAGGCGGCAGATATCTAAAATAACAGGCACAGATCTCTCTGTCCCAGGGAAAGGGCACCTGGGCTATGTTGTTCCCACACCTTCCTTTACAGCTCCATCATAAGCAAAGCTAGTGGCACCTGGACGTGAGCAATTGCCTCTCTGCTCAGCTACAGACTCTGGGGCATTAACTGTGCAAAGATCAGAGCCCTCTGTAGACTGCCGCTGGCAAACTACCCCCTTCCTTCTGTTCACTAGGTTCCTGATTTCCAAGATCTGTGCAGATTCTCTTTCCTTAGTGTGCATTATGCCCTCAAAGGAAAGGAGCAAAGCCAGCAGGCTGCGTTCGAACCGGCTTTCTGTGCTTCTAGCTAAACTCCAAAATAGGAACATACCTCTCTAAGGGCACAGTGGGGATGGAATGGGCTGTGATGAGATGTACTGGCAGGATGGTCTGCCACTCAGCCGTCCTCAAAAAGTCTTGCTTTGTAGCTTTGTATGATGGTGAAGCCCAAGTTGCAGGGCCCTGATCCCAACTGGCACTGGCACGGTCGCACTCTGAACTGGGAGCAGAATCTGAGAAAGGAATCTGAGGCTAGGACCCAGGGGCCCTAGGACTGCTGGCATCCAGTACTACCAGAGTGCCTTCAGGGGGCCTTTGTGTCACCGCCAACTGCACCAGTGGGGCTTGTGTGCCCTGCACCTAACAAGCAGAACAGCAGGATTTTAGGTGAAGATTTTGAGAAACCGACTACAACATGGTAAGTAGGCAAACTCTGCCTCATGCAGGCAGTTTGATACTCCTACATGATTTTTTTCCGAATTGGTTGCCCTGCTCCAGAACTGCCTTCAAAAGAGTCGTCCATCGGATCAGATAATACTCCTCCCTCTGGGGAATGCAGCAAGTGGAATACTGAGTGACTTTAGACACGTCCTCTCTGGTCTCTGGGCCTCAGTTTCCTTATCTGCAAAATGAGAGGATTTGGGTAAGCTGACAGGGTGTAACTTTCTGGGTGCACTCGGGGGCGCCCCCAAACACTAGCGGAAGAAGCGACGGCAGCGAGCGCCAGCCCGGGGTCCCGCCCTGTCAGCGAGCGCGGGGGAGGCCAGGCCGGGCGCCCGAGCCCGCGCCCCGCCCCGCCCGAGGCCTCGGTTGCCCCGCCGCTGGTAGGGCCAGGCTTCCGCCCTCCACGTTGTTGTTCCCGATACGGGCCCCGCCCCCTTGGTCTGGGCTGCGTATGCCCGGCGGTAACTACCCCCGCCTCGGCCCCAGAGCAAGGCGGGGGCCTGTGGGCCATCCACAGACATGCGTGGACAAAAGACAAGAATTTAGGGGAAGAAAGGAGAAGCTTGGGTTTGAAAGGAGGGTGACGATAAGTAAAGGGTAGGCTAGGGCACGACTGCAGAATTTCCCTCGGCATCCCACCCTCCCTTCTCAGTGGACCCATCCGCACCCACGAATGTGACCGTGTTAGACACTGGCCCTTTAAACAGAAGGCTGGCGGCGCGGGGTGTCCATGTGGAGCTGCTCCATGCCGTGTTGTCCTGCCCGCCCATTGGCCCGCGGCCCGGTGACGTCGCCTAATAGGATGCGAACGCACTGCGGGGGGAGGAACGGAGACAAGACGTGGAACCGGATCACCACTCCGCTCCCTCCGCTGGTCTCTGGCAGCCTCCCGCCGTCAGCTCCGCCCACGGGCGGATCCCGGGGGAATTGCGACAGCCGGGCGGTTGCAGGAATTAGGTCACGTGTGGGTAAGGAGCGGAGACCCAGGGGTCAGGCTACTCTCTACCATCTTAAGGTTTCCCTGACCTACAATATCCTTATTTGAGCTAACTTAAGTCTTAAATTTTCCATCCTTCTTTTCCTCTAGCAGGACACATCTCGTTGTGAATGACCGCAACACGCAGCCCTTGCTCAACTCGTGGCTGGCCATCGGGGCGGGGCGAGACGAGAAAGCGGAAATGCGGGGCGCGAGCAGGGCTGGGTGTCCTCCCGCCCCCACCCGGGCCACGTGTGCGCGCGCCGTCTGTGGTGGGCGGGGCCGTCCCGCTCGGGACCCCGCCCCTCCCTTCCTGAGACGCCGCGGCCCTGCGGGCGGGGGCTCCGGTCCGGGCTTTGGCTGCGGCCCCGGTGTAGTAGCGGGGGCGGCGGCCGGGGGCAGCGCGGCTCCTTCCCTTGTTGTGTGTGTCGGTGCCTCCTCGCCATCTTGTTGCAAAGCCTTTTCTTGTCGGCGGGACTCCCGGGGGCCGCGGGGCGGGAGGCATCAGAGGGGAATAAGAGAAGGAGGGGAAGGAGGGAGGCAGTGCCGCCTTTTGTTTTTTTGCATCAAAATTTTTTTAATTTGCAAATTCTATTTTGCAAATATTTTGGAAAACATTAATTTTTTCTCTCCGCGCTCTCCCGTTCTTCCCTGCGGAGTGCGCTGCGCCGCCCAGCCCTGTCGCCCCCCGGAGGTGATCCCGCCCTCCTGCCTGTCCGCCAGCCTGACCTGTGCCCGGCTCGCGGGCCGCAGTCTCGGCCCCGGCGCGCCCCCGGCGGCTCTCGGCGCGATGAGCATAGAGACGCTCCTGGAGGCGGCCCGCTTCCTGGAATGGCAAGCGCAGCAACAACAGAGAGCACGTGGTGAGCGGCCGGGCTGGGCCCCTGGGGCACCGGGGACGGGGAGACGCGCGACCCTAGCCTCGGAGCCCGTGCGACACCGCGGGCAGCACCCCTACCCCGGCGGCCCCGAAGCCAGGCAGCGCACTGTCCGCGCAGGAGCCGCCGCCCGGGGAGGGGTGCTGGGGGCAGGAACAGTAATTAATGGGTTCGTTAATATGCCGTGAGGGACCGGCTCTTGTGGGAGCTGCCTGCCACCCGAGTGTACCCTTCGCGGGGGCTCCGTCAGCGGGGGCCAGCGGCGCCCTCCGCAGCAACGACGTGTGAGCCGGTGGGGGTGGGGTGGGGGATGGTGCTGCGTGGGGGTGGCAGACCCGCCTGTGCGTGCGTGTGTGCACGGGGATGTGTGATGCGAGCCTCGAGGAGAGCCGTGAACGGACGTGTCCACGGGCGAGTGTACAGTGCACACGAGTGGGCGTGTGTGTAACGGAGTGGGGGTGGGAATTACTCTACGCCGAGCAGCTCCCCGGCTTCCCTGGCCCCGTAGGGAGGGTGCGGGGGGCGCTCCCGGCCCGGCTACGCGCCGCTTGGGGCGGAGGCGGCCTTTGCAGAATGAAATGACATCGCGTGTCTTATGATCCTGGCCAGCCCCGCCTGACCCCGCCTCCCAGAGCTGGGCTGGGTCACGCTTCAGGGCTTTGGGGGAGAGCTTGGCTGATTGGGTGTCTGCGAAGCGGCCTGCAGGTCGCTGGGGGCAGCCCCCGGGCCCCCCTCGCGGCGCCCCACTTTAGCCGGTGTGGAATGTGGCGTGTCTGCGCGTTCCAAACCCGCTCTCGGCTGGAATGTTGCGTGTGCCTGCGTTCCAAGCCTGTTGGTTACACCGGGTGGTGACGTGGACGGGCCCCGCCTCCGACCACGTGCACGGGGGACACTCCCGCTGGGGACGGAGCGGCTCGGCCGGGGGCGGGGCCGGGGCGGGGCTGGCGAGTGGCCTGGCGCGGGGTTGGGCCCTGGCTGCGGCCGCCGGGCTCCTCCTGGGAGAGCCTGTGCGCTGGAGGAGGAGCCGCCGCGTTCACCTGCCCGTTCTCGCCCCGACCTCCGGTGTTTGATCCTGGGGCGAGGGAAACCCTCGGAATAGCAGGGCGGCAGGGCATTTAGAGCTCACATATTCCCCCTGACGTTGGGGGGGGACGTTCTCACCAGGACCTCCCGGCAGTACGCCTACCCACATTGTGGGATGAGCCAGGCTGTGAAGGGGCAAACTTCGGCGTTCCCTCGACAGGAAACGATTTCAGATGCTCCCCTTCCCACCCGCCCTGTCGGTGGTCCCCGGCTTCAGGGTGCTGCAGAATAGGGGCTGGAGTGAAAGACCTCCGTTTCCCGGACCATTGCGAGGGCCTCGGCCCTGGGTCGATGTGTGTGCAGTATCTGGGGACTCATGTCCCCTGCAGCCTCCCCTCCCCAGCCCTTTTGCCGGGTTGGTTGTGTTGGAGAGGGTGCTTCGCCCTCCTTTCCTTTCTCTGCCTATTGTTGCTTCAGTGATGAGTCATGCAGGAGGTAGTAGTGTGTGTTGTGTGCGCGCGCGCCCTGCAGCTTTTGCCGCGGCCTCGGCGGCGGAGGGGGTGGGGTGAGGGGAGCGGCGGCGGGCCAGGGGCGGGGGAGCGGCGGGTCCGCCCGGCCTAGTCGGTCGACCGGCCTCTCAAGGTCAGGAGTCACTCGAGATATGTAAGCTTGAGGTGCTTGGGTTTTGTGGAATTACTGGGCCGGGACATCAGCCCGCGTGCCCCTCCCCCTTGTCTTCGGGGTCCTGAGCAGGGTCAGGCCCTTGACAGTGCTGGTGGTGACGGGAGAATGTCCTGCTTGCAGCGACAGGGCAGGGGATGGGGTGTGTGTAACCAGAATTGGAGAGACTTGAGTCTCTTCCTGCTGCCGTCAACATAGTGCAATTCAGGAGCATCTATTGTGTCCTTGCTGTGTATCAGGCACTGTGCTAGAGGTGAATAGGGTTGACCCTGCTGTTGCCCCAAGGGAGCACTCACTTCACCTTCACTGTGCCCTCAGGCTGCTTGGCCTTAAGAGGAAGGGGAGAAGACACCCCCTCCTGTCCCTTCCTCCCCGCTGTCATCTCTCCCACCCTTTCCAGAATATTAAATCCAGAGCTGGCAGTTAGAAGGACAGGGTCGGTGTGTGCAACACTGTGAAGGAGCCTGGGAATGGTTCTCTCCTAAGAAGTAGCAGAGCCCTGCCCCTCCCATGCAGGTGGTGAGAAGCCGGGGCAGGGAGCTGAGTAGAGGTCCAGTTTAACTGACCAGTCACAGCTCCTTCGTGGTGGAGCAGGAAGGTCTTAGGGGATGGATGATGCAAAGCCAGATTCACCCCAAAAACTCAGGTACAGATTCATTTTTCTCCCCCTCCTTGAAGTTCTATCCTCTGACTTGGGATGGGGACAATGGGAGAGAAGGGGTAGTGTGTGGACCTGCTGACCAGAACTGCTTGCCTGGGTATGAGCAGGCTCTGAATGGGGATCCTCTTGTCCACACTGCCCTTTCAGTGTCCAGGGTGGGTTTCCCAACCAGAGGGAGCCGGACTGCTCATGTGATGAACCTGGGGATGTGTGTGCACATGTGCATGTGAGAGGGCAGAGGTGGTCAGGAGGAGGCCCACTCATTTCCAGCGGTCAGAAGATGGCCCAAACAGGATCCTCTTCTACCCGACCTAGTCACATCCTGGGGCCTGCCTTATGCACCAGGTCTCCTGTTAGCGTGAAGAAGGGGAGAGTTCCTCCTGAACACTGGGGGCTACCCAGTGTAGACTCCTGTGGCTCCTGAATCACCCCACAGGTCATGCTAAATTCTCCGGGGCCAGCCTCTGGGAAGCCCAGGGAAGGTGTCAGAGCATGTATGTGTGTGTTTGGGAGTGGGAGAGGGAGTGCACCCATGGGTGCAGCAGAGCAATTTTTACAGAGCCTCAATCTGTTGTTCCTGAGGGCATCCCCTGAGTGACTGCCAGTTCGTGCCCCCCCCCCACTTTGTTCCCCCCTACCCAGGGCACTGGAAGAGGGTCACTGCTGGGTGGGGAGGAGACAGAAAGCTTTGGTGGGCTGGATCTGGCCTGGGACACCCCCTCTTCACCATCAGTCAAGATTTTTCATGCCGATCCAGGCGTGATAGAGTTTGGCCATTCAACTGGCTCCTTCCTGACACCTGTGAGGTGTACCTGCCTGACTCTGGAAGAGAGAGGGTAGGTGAGAAGGAGGTTTCCATCTCCTAGGTGAGCTGTACAGTTGCTTTAACATATGGGGACTATGAGGTTTTCTCTGTTTGGGTTCCCAGGACACCTGTCCTTGGGGCTTGGGGCCTTCTCAGTCCCACTGCTAATGGGAGAGTGGAACACTGGTCCCAAAGCCAGTGAAAGTTTGGGTCCTAGCTCAGAAGCATGAAGGTGGGCTGTGTCCGGCTTGGGGATGGGGTGGGAGGGGGGTGGAGGGGTGGGATAGGGAGCAATGTGGGGGATGGATGGGAAGCTGGTGGGAGGAACTCTGCAGACTTCTTGGCTAGTGTGCTCTCTGGGAAGCTGGAGGGCAGAGAGCTGGTTTTTCTCTGGGCCTGTAACCTAAGCCAGTGCAGGGGCCACAGAAAGGCCCAGGAGAGAAGGCCTTTCCTTGGAGCAGGCCTGGCAGCTCCCCTTCCTGAAGGGCTGGGGAGCTACGGAAGAGGCCAGGGCTGCTGGGAAACCACTGAGTGCTTCCCCTCTCACATTTCTCTACTTCCTCCTTTGCCTCTTCTCCCCTGTGGGAGGGAAGGGCTTGGAGCAGTCCTGGCTCACACTCCCGTGGTTGGTGGGCCTAAGGGCTGAGCCCCAGAGACAAGTGGGGGGTTAGGGAGTTGATGCCCTCCTCGTAGGGGGCTCTGAGCCTACCTGGTCCTCTAGCCCCACCCCTTGTGGGGTGGTATGTTTGAGGCGTGTCTGCCAACTACCTGTCTGTCCAGTTAGCAGCTAGCAGCGTCAGATCAGTTAGCAGTGGTGTGGCCAATCCTGGACAGGCAGGAGGGCTGGTTGACCAGCCTGCTCCCAGGCCTGGGGGTTCCAGCTGCTCCCCCAGGGCCCCTAGCCCTGGTGCCAGGGAACCAGAACTGTGGGACCTGGAGAGTGCAGGGCAGGGTGGAGGTGGAGAGGTGCTTCTGGCTCAGGAAGGGCCCTCCCCCTTTCCGTGTGCTCAGGGAGGTCCTGAGCAGGTCTTGCTTTGCAGCAGGGCTTTCAGCGGAGATGCTGAACTGACAGGTGCAAGGCTGCTTTTCTTTTCTTTCTGCCTGCCTCTTACCTTTCTGGTTGTGCTGCTGCTGGTGGGGACACGGGGGCATTTGGGAGCAACAAGTTCTGGCACCACAAAGGTCAGAGAAGGACCGAATGTGTTTTGTGTGGTCCCTAAGGAAACCAGACCTTGGGAGTCCTGGGCCTCATTTCCTCATGTGTGAACTGAAGGTGATGTCCCTGCCCTGCCTGTGGCGTGCACTCTTGTGGGGACCCAGCGGCGTGTGTGTGTGTGTGTGTGTGTGTGTGTGTGTGTATGGACAGACACCTAGTGAGCACGTGCTGACACAGCTGGTATAGGCTCCGCCAGGTGTCAGAATTCCTGGCTGGGTCTAGTTTCAGTTTTACCTGTGACTCGCTCTGTGATCCTCAACAAATCATTGCCTCTCTGAGCTAATTTATTTCATCTTGAAATGAAGATGCTGCCTGCCCTCTGGAAGGTACTTGTAAATGCTATTGAAGGCCTTCCCTAGAAGCCGTGATCTGTCCAACACAACCCACCCCCCCTCGCCTGCCGCCCCGTCCCTAGTCCATTCTTCCATGATGGCCTATGAGGCCTTTTGCTGACTGGCCTCTGCCCAGCTTATCTATCACCGCAGTACCCTCAGCCTTGTTCCTGAACCTCCCTGCCCCAGTCTAACCCCTCTACCTTCAGGCTGCCAGGCCCCCAACCTCCTGCTCTTTCTACAGCCCTTCTCCTCTCCAGCCTGGATCCTTATCCTCTGTTACTTGTCCTTCCCCTCACCCCCTAGGCCTTGAGCTCCCCAAAGGCAGAGACCAGGTGTGTTTAAACTCTTCACTGCTGTGCTCCTAGCCCTTAGCCCAAGTGCCTGGCTGGGTGTCTCTCAGGCTGAGCAGGCAGGTCACTGAGCACTGATTGGGACAGAGTCAGAAGATGTGTTATGGTGGAAGACTTCAGAAGTTGGGGCCCAGGACTGCTGGCCCACTGAGAAATCCCTTGTGTTCTCTCTGCGTAGAGGAGCAGGAGCGGCTTCGCCTGGAGCGGGAGAGGGAGCAAGAGCAGAAGAAGGCCAGCAGCCTGGCCAGGCTGGCCCATGCCCTGCCTGTGGAGGAACCCCGCATTGAAGCACCACCCCTACCTCTGTCTCCCCCAGCACCCCCACCAGCACCCCCACCGCCACTTGCCACCCCCACCCCATTGACTGTCATTCCTATTCCAGTTGTGACCAACTCTCCTCAACCTCTGCCCCCACCCCTGCCTCCTGCTGCCCAGCCTTTGCCCCTGGCGCCTCGCCAGCCAGCCCTGGTTAGCACCCCTGGACTCAGCATTAAGGACTCTGCTCCCCTGCCCACCAGGCCACAGGTGCCCAACCCTGCCCCCCTGCTGCCAGACTCCAAGACCACCCTTCCGCCCACTGGCAGCCCCAAGCCTTTGCAGCCCCTCCCCACACCCATCCTGACCATAGCACCTCACCCTGGAGTCCAGACCCAGCTGGCTCCTCAGCAGCCACCGCCATCCACTCTTGGGACCCTGAAGTTGGCACCAGCCGAAGAAGTCAAATCCAGCGAACAGAAGAAGAGGCCCGGGGGGTGAGTGCGGTGTGGCTGAATCCAGGCTGATGGGATGGAGAACTGCCCACATTCTGGGCTCCATGTGGAAAAGAAAGTAGCCCCTCCTAAGCTAGTTCTTCAAAGCCATGTCCTCCCTCCCCACCCGAGATGCATCTTATCTTATTTGGACAGGTCTGTGCCTGTGCCCACCCCCACCCAGGAGTGGGTATGGCTGTTGCCCTCTGTTGTCAGGCTTCTGTGTTCTCTGACCTGCTCAAGGATGGGCCCATTGGCATTTCCAGGTCTTTGGCGAGAGTATTGGAATGAGGACCTCTTGGTGAGGGCTGGGGTCAACTGGCTATTTCTGTGAGCTCCAGGAGGCCCTCCGATTCCTCACAGGTGGACAAGGGCAAGATGGAGGGTTAAAGGGATTGTGATTTATGAGCATACGTGTGCCGTCCAGGGGCTGTATGCGCCTCTACACAGGCTGAACATCTCCCACTGCTGCTTTGTACAGAATGTGGGGAGCAAACTGTGGCAATCGGGGAGTGGGAGCAGGGGGCAGAAGACCACCTAATTGGGTCCTCCTCCCTCAACTTCCTTCCTGTCTGGGTTTCAGGATCGGAACCAGAGAAGTCCACAACAAACTGGAGAAGAACAGGTGTGTGTGCGTGCGCGCGTGCCTCTGGCCCCACCCTTGGTCCCCCAAGCCCCCCTGGGGCCTCTTCTCCCCGCCCCCCAGTCGCGGGCCAACCAGCGTTCCCCCTCTCCCCAGGAGGGCCCATCTGAAGGAATGCTTTGAGACCCTGAAGCGCAACATCCCCAACGTGGACGACAAGAAGACGTCGAACCTGAGCGTGCTGCGGACGGCGCTGCGGTACATCCAGGTATGGGGGAGGGAGGCTCCGCCGAGAGCAGGGCGGGCGGCGGCCGCGGCGCCGGCTTCCTCCCCGCTCCCGCCCGCCCTCTTCCCCTCGCCGCGGCCCGCCCCGCCCTCACTCCCCCTCCCTCCCCCTCCGGCTCCGGCTCCCCCGCCCGCCTCCACGCGGGCGCGGAGCACATGGCTCGGCTGACGTCAGCGGGGCTCCCCGCCCGCGAGGGGGCGGGGGGCGCGTGCGCGTGCGCGGGGGAGGGCGGCAGCGGCGTCCCCCTCTCCCCCCAGCCCCCTTCCGGCCGCCCCGCGGAGCCCTGCCATCTGCGCCGCCCCCGCAGCTCCGTGTTCAAACCCCGCGGCCGAGCGGCGGGTCCCGCGCTCCTGCCTGACGCCGCTGGTGCCCCCGCGGCTGAGGAGGGCGGGGAGCGGCCCCGGCGCCTCCACCCCGCCCGCAGTGCCTGGGCGGGAGCCGGACTCGGCCCGAGTGTCGCTCGCGGTGGGGTGGGGAGTCCCCTGGGCGTGGCTCCTGGCGGAAGGCGGCGCGCCGGCGAGGCCCCCCACTCCAGCCCGAGGGACTGAGATCCAGTGAGCGCGTCGAAGCGCCGCGACTCCAGTTTGGGGATTACACCTGGAGACCGGGGGATGTGGCGGTCTGGGTGACCAAATAACCCTGGGGTCACCGAACCTTTGAAAATCAAGCTCTCCGCCTGCTTGGATTTTTAAAAGCCTCTTTTCAAGGGGCCCTCCTGGCCTTGTGCCTCCCTCCCACCCCCGCCTTGGGCACTGGCTTCCCTCTGCAGTACGGGGTGGGGGGCGCCCGCCAGATAAGACTGTTGCCATGACGGCCCTGTGTTTCGGTTTCCCTGGAAACCGGCCGAGGTTTCCGCGTGCCGGGAAGGAGGCTGTGGGGGTGGGGCGGGCGGCCACGCTTGGCTGCCGCGGAGACGCGAGTTGGAGCCGAGCCGTTGGGCAGTGGGAGGGACTTCGCGCTCCCTGCCCGCGCGGGGTGGGGGCGGGGAAGGCTCGGGGTCTCCCGGTCGGCGCGCTCCTGCCGCGCGCCTGGTCCCCGGGGGAGGGGGTGGCCAAGGGGTCCGACCGCATTAGGAGCCCGAGGCGGGGCCTCGCCCCTCCCCCGGCCAGGACTGCGGGGTCACAGCCCTGAGGTAACCGGAGTCCGCTCCCAGCCGGCGGCTCCCTCCCCGCCTCCCGCGAGCGCGCGCCCTTCCGCCCGCCCGGCGGAGGGGGAGTGGCTGGCGTGGCTCCAGCCTGCTTCCCGGCACCCGGGCGGGGCGGGGCCGGGCTCGCGGATTGGCCGGGCCGGGCTGGGGGCGGAGCTTCCGCGCGCGGAGCGGCGGGGTGCGGCCGGCGGGCAGTGACGCTGCAGAGCCGGGTCCGCGTGGGTGCGCGCGTGCTCCGGGAGGGGCGGGGCCTCGCTTGCGGCCGGCCGGGCCTCGAGGAGGAGGGGCCGGAGGGGTGGGGTTTGGAGGGTCCCCAGGAGGCCTACTTCTGGCTTGTTTTTGCAGAACTTGGGCTTGGGAATGTTACTGGTTCTTCAGTGGTTCACAATCCTATGGCCTACGAGCAGATTCTTGTCCAAATGCAGTGACGTTTTCTGTGAATATCAGCTTTTTCTGTGCTGCCATTTTGCTAAATAGGAAAAAATAGTATTTTCACCATAGGGATGTTAGGAGGATTGGTCTTCTATAAATACCAATTTAATGGCAATTATTGAGATGTAGGAAGCACATCGTATTTTCTAGAGGCATATTTAGGGGGAAGAGCCTTGCTTGCATGATCTCTGGATTTGAAAATAAATTTTAAGCAGAGACTCAGTAGAACCAGCAGACATGGGCCTGGGTTGAGTAGGCAGTGAGGTGTACCCAGGGCTGTTCATAGAGATCTATTTCTACTGGTCCTGACAGTGGAAGCAGAAACAGAAAACTTAACAAGGTTTTGTAAATCCTCAACCTCATTCGTTTATTCATTTAGGTACTTTGGACAGTTCTGTGTCTGATTTTGAGGATAAAGTAGGGAACAAAGGACAAAGTATGGTCTGTATTTTTACTGGTTCAGTCCTGGTGGCAGACTTTTTTTAAAGATTTTATTTATTTATTCATGAGAGACACAGAGAGAGAGAGAGGCAGAGACACAGGCAGAGGGAGAAGCAGGCTCCATGCAGGGAGCCTGACATGGGACTTGATTCCAGGTCTCTGGGATCACACCCTGGGCTGAAGGCGGCGCTAAACTGCTGGGCCACCCGGGCTGCCCTTGGTGGCAGATTATAAACTAAGGCCTGTGCCATGAGGATGTAATAGGGACAGGGATCACAGAATTTCTTCTGGGGAGCAAGGGAAGTTATTGTTGAGGAAGGGGCATTCAAGTTGAGACCTGAAGGTTTCAGGGTGACCTAGGCACAGCTGGTGGCAGAAGGCCTAGCACAGGCTGGCTCCTCTCCAGAAGGAAGGAGGGGGATGCACTTTTGGAAAGTAAAGGTGGTCATGAGGGTTGCCATGTAGAGATGGGGGCCGCAGAGCACTAGATGGGAGTCAAAAGGGAATAGTAGACCACATCAGGTGTATAGAGCAAAGGCTTTGGGTGTGTGCTGAGGTGGGAAGGCTATAGCCCCCAGCCCGCTCAGAATGGCTTGAAGATGCTAAGGGATTTAAAGAAACCCATGGTGAAGTGAACAAAACCAGAAAGAGGAGTAGGCAGGTACCTAACTATGCATCCAGGCAGTCTTATGAAATGTTTTAAAATGAAGCAATGTGGACAAGAGCTAGACCCTGGGGAAACTTTGCAGGGGCTTCTAGGCCTCTGGAGAACTAGGCTAGTGAAGAAGAGGTCTTGGCCTCTGAGTTTCCCTCAGCGCCAGAAATCTACTCTCCTGCTAGGACTGCCACTTCCAGCCCCCTGCAGTCAGGCTCAAGTGGTAGCTAGCTGACTCACCACAGGCCCCATCATTGATATGGCCTCATCTGATGTCATGTCCAGCACTGGCCTCTCAGGGTAGAGCCAGGTGAGAATCCTGGTGAGATGTGTGTATGTAAGGGAGGGATCTTTCTGGCAGAACTATGTAGAGAACCAAGTTAAATCTCAAAGCCAGGACATAGAGGAGGCTGTGTGTGGCCTGGGACTGCTGGCAGAATTGTAAAGTACCAAGTTTCAGGCCAGAACAGAGTATGGTCATATCTGGGTTACATGTTGTGGGCACTAATAGTTTAAGGCATTTCTTTCTGGTGAGGTCAGAAATATGAGTGTGAGGCTACAGCAGGAGTGTAGGGAAATCAGGCCGAGTTTACTGGGTGAAGTTGGAAGACGCTGCCATACCCTGGAAGGGCAAGTGAACAGTCAGGAAGGTTGGTGTAAAACTGCTCGTAGTAAATAGAATCAGTGGAAACTCGAGTCTAACGGGTGACTGATTCTGCTGTGATAAAGGAGAGAGACAGGATAGAAGTGGGAATATACATCCTCACAGATCCTTCCCCTGGGGCTGGGATAAGCGTACTTCTGGCCACTGGTAGGGTCAGGGGGAAAAAAGCTAATTATAGAATATCTTGCTTTTACAATGTTTTACAGATAGAGGTGGAAAAACAGAACATGAAGTTTTTAGGGGGGGGTCACATGAGCCAGTGTCTGATTAAATCCTGCCAGTCTTATTAAATGCTCAAGTATATGGAGGCATATCAGGAAGGGCTCCAGGGCAAGAGGACTCACTGGTGAGGGTGTGGGATGGGGAAGGTGTGGGGGCTCAGGTGTGGTCTGGGAGTACAAGCAGGTGAGATGTAGAGGGGTGAGAAGGGAGGATCTGTGTATGAGACAGGGTTCAGGGAGGAAAACTTAAGACGAGCTGGATAATTTGGTGTATGAAGGGTCACTGGGTCCTGTACCTGCCGTGACTGGCAAACTTTGGAAGCTAGCACTCAGGAGTAATTGAGGCAGCGATGGCTCTACGGCCAGGGGAGCTGCCTGCTGGTGTTCCGAGTCGGTGGGGGGGGTTCCCAGTGTTATGGGGAGGGAACCATATGGAACTTGTGGTGAAGGAGGAAAATGTCCAGTGGTGCTCAGATCAGAGATGCTGTTGAGCCATTTCTCAGCTAGAGGTGTGGAAGGAGGGACACATTCCAGGGCTCCGGGGATCATTCAGCAGCCTGGGGAATCTGGACGGCCTTGGGCATTTCTGAGAGGCAGCCCATGTAGGTGTGGCAGCAGGAGCAGTCCTGGCCCTGAGCAGAGTGGGGAGAGCCAGCAGCTGCCCAGGATTAATGAGATGGAGGCAGGTCCAGAGGAGATACACAGGGGTGGTGGGTGCCACAGAGCACAGGGTCTGAGGGCCATCCTTGGGGACATTGAAGTTGACACTAATGAATGATGCTGTAGAAAGAAGGGCAAGATCCTTTGGAGTTCTTTGGGGAATGAGTTCCAAGGAGGGTAGTCTGTGGCATGGTGCCGGACAGCGTGGTATGAGTGGTGGCGGGGGCGTGACCAACACCCTAGCTGTGACTGTTACCCCTCCTATCCTCCACAGAATGGCCGGAAGAGGCTGCCAGGAGGGTGGATGGGGCCAGAGGCCAGGAAGCTCTCCCGCACAAAGTGGATGCGGGTGGGAGCCGGGGAGAGGCCGACCTGCATCTGTGCGGTCAGTGGTGCCTGCTAGAGAGCCTGCAGTCCTCCCACCTGCCCCCCTGGGGGTGGAGTGACCTGCAGCCTGGATGGGGGGGGACACTTGTGGGGAGAGGTTTGCAGGTTTGCAGTACTGTGGGCCCTCTAGCTCCTGCTCAGGGTATCCTTCGGGCCCTTGCCTTATTCTCCAGTCTCTGAAGAGGAAGGAGAAGGAATATGAGCATGAGATGGAGCGGCTGGCACGCGAGAAGATTGCCACACAGCAGCGGCTGGCAGAGCTCAAGCACGAGCTGAGCCAGTGGATGGACGTGCTGGAGATTGACCGTGTGCTCCGACAGACTGGCCAGCCGGAGGACGACCAGGCCTCCACCTCTACAGCCTCTGGTGAGCCCTACCTGCCCCTCCCTGGCCCGGCCCTTGTCCCCCAGCCCCATGTCCCCAGGCCCCAGGGGCATTTACTACTACTCCAGCCTCTTGTTTCCCAAGTTCTTCTGACCCATCCCTGTCCCCATGTCTCTCCACAGAGGGTGAGGACAACATAGATGAGGATATGGAGGAGGACCAGGCCGGCCTGGGCCCACCTAAACTGAGCCATCGCCCCCACCCGGAGCTGCCAAAGCTACCGCCCAGCACCGCCCCCGCACCTCTGCCTCCCCATCCACACCCCCATTCCCAGCCTGTGGCTCTGTCTCCTGTCCACCTGCCTGGGCAGCAGCCACCACCACAGCAGAAGACACCTCTGCCAGCCCCTCCTCCCCCACCGGCCCCCGCCCAGACGCTGGTGCCTGCTCCAGCCCATCTGGTGGCTGCAGCTGGAGGAGGCTCCACGGTCATCGCCCACACGGCCACCACCCATGCCTCAGTCATCCAGACTGTGAACCACGTTCTACAGGGGCCGGGCGGCAAGCACATCGCCCACATTGCCCCCTCAGCCCCCAGTCCTGCTGTGCAGCTGGCACCTGCCACACCTCCCATTGGCCACATCACAGTGCACCCTGCCACCCTCAACCATGTGGCCCACCTTGGCTCCCAGCTGCCTCTGTATCCACAGCCCGTGGCGGTGAGCCAGCCTGTGGCAGTGAGCCACATCGCCCACACCCTCTCACACCAGCAAGTGAATGGCACAGCTGGGCTGGGGCCCCCAGCGACTGTCATGGCAAAGCCAGCTGTGGGGGCTCAGGTGGTGCACCACCCCCAGCTGGTGGGCCAGACAGTGCTCAACCCTGTGACCATGGTCACCATGCCCTCCTTCCCGGTCAGCACACTCAAGCTGGCTTGAGGATGAGGCCACTCAGAGGCCCCCAGTGGGGGCAGGGAGGGGGACCCACCCCCCACTCTCCCACCCACCAGCTCCACACATTCCAGCCAGGCCAAGGCCCGCCCCACCCACACCCACCCCCAGGCCTCCTAGGGGAAGGGGGTGCAGAGACTCTGAGCCAGGTGAGGGAGGGCCACCCCAGGGAGCTGGGCGCGGGGCAGGGTGTGACCCCACTGCACTAGGACTTAAGTGATGAGATGCTTTGGTGAATGTGCCCCTCGTCTGGCCTGGTGCCAGCTCCAGTGATGTTCCCACCTCCCCACCTTGTCCCCTGCCTCCCCTGCGTGTGGGTGTTGTGTTCTCCCCACTTCCCTACCCCGCCTGCCTTCCTGTGCTGCTGCTGCTATATTGCTCTAGCTGATGAGGCGGCTGAGTGCCCGGGCCCTCTATCCTGAGCCGTGGCCTTCTCTGCCCAGGCCTTGGGGGGCGGGGGGAGGGCGGTTAGGGGGCAGAACCGAAGCAACTTGGCCCAGAAAGCTGGGTGCTCAGGAGGCTCTGCTCTAAAGGTGACAGATCCTAGGAAGTGGCCACTCTGCTGGGAGGGGTGGGCTTGGCTGTCCTGCCCCCATGCTGCCCTTCCCCACCCCTGGCCTGGGTCTGGACCTGTCTCCATCCCTGGACCTGGCTCTTGGTTTCCCAAAGGCAAAGGGGAGGGGTGCTGTCCATTCTCTGCCCCAGGTCTCTGGCCTCTGCTCAGTGCTGTGCACTCCCCTGTAAGCTCAGAGAAGTGAACTGGCATCTGGTCTGGGTCCTGGGAGCCTGAAGCCACACTGCTGAGGCCATCAGGAAGTTAAAATCTAGGGGCTGGGGCAAATCCCCAAGCCCTTTTCCTGATGCCCTGGCAACCTGCAGGGCAGGGAGGGCTGCTACTTCTGCCCCAACTCCTCTGTCCTTGGTGTCATCTCTGTCTTTCCCCCTGAACACCTGCTTCTGCAGTGAGCTATTCTGAGTGGGCCACCACCTCCCTTTGAGGAAGGCCCTTGGTTGGACTTAGGGCCGCACTGAGCTTGGGCTGGGGAGGAGTGAGGGGGCCTGTGTGCAGGGCATGCCGGTTTCCCCACCTCTGCCTCTGCTGACTGCTTTGGCTTCTCTTTTATGTGGGTATTTATTACAAGTGGCCTTGTGTCTGACACATGCTCAGTTGTACACACATGCACACTCAGCTCGCCACCTGGACACACACAGTCACCTTTGTGGGGAGAGAAAGCCAGTGTCTCTAGTTGTGAAGTTTGCTTTGACAGGCTGGGGGCAGGGGACAGGACACTTAACTCCCTTTCAGTTCCTTCCTAGTCCTAGAAACCTCCCAGGGGACTGTTCTCGTTGGTCTTGCCTGGGGTGGGGAAAGGAAGGCCTATGGTCACCCCAGAGGCCTCCAAGAGGGAGCCTCACACCCACCTCAGCATAGCACTTCCACCCCACAAGCCTGCTGCCCTCCTGCCCCTGCGGCCACCACCTGCCACCCTGGTTCTTGGGGAAACCAGTTTACAGTCTTCCCTGAGTGATTGGAGCTGCAAGAGCAGAGGGAGCCAGCTGGGCCTGGTGCCCAGGAACAGAGAAGCATCAGGGGACCTGCCCTTCCTTTCAGGCTCTGCTCACCTCCCTGCATTCTGAGGCCATTTCAGAGTTGAAAGTGTGTCAACTAGTGGCCTCTCGGGCCTGCACAGATACCTCATCCGCCCGCTCACTGCCCCTGCCCTTCCCCACCCCTAGCAGTGGGGGCCTTCGAATCTAGTGCCGAATGACTATGTCCAGATTGGTGACGATGGGTGTTGTTGCTGTTGTTTTTGTTGTTGTTTGTGAACGCTGTGATGCTGTGTGCCCTAGAGGGCAACCACCGCTCAGCCCTTCCTTGGGCATCTCCCTTCTGAGAGCTGTCAGGACCACATCTGTCCTCACCCTGTGGGACCGCCTGCCCCTCCCCTCCCTAGCCCTTCCAGCCTGGGGGCTGCGCGCGTGTGTGCATACGTGCACGCGCACACACAAACACACACACACACCTTACCTCTCATGCGTGTTTTACTTTTTGACGTTAGGAGTGGCTCACTGGCTGGGAGCCTTTACCTCGGGGAGAGGGGGAGGTTGGTTCCTTGGGGGGCCAAAGAAGGGCAGGGAGTGCCTGGAGGGGAATTAAGGGTTACTAAAGCCCTGGCTCTCCAGGAACAGCTTCTCCCCCATCCCAGGGTCCCATCCCCATCCCCCAAAGAGGTGGCCCTTGTTTACAGTGAGGACTCTGGTCACTGTGTCTCCGTTTCCTGAAATATAAACTGTAGCGACCCCAGACTGTAGAGATTTTTATGTGTTTGGATACATCTGCTGTGTGGGAAAAAAACAAAAACCCTACAAAAAACCCTAATTTTGTACATATTGTATTTTTACTATTGAACTGTATTCTAGTGGCTGTTCATGCTCCAAGACTTTAGGTATTGAGACATGAATACTATCCATGTAATAAGCACTTGCCTGGAATAAAATATAAAACTGAATAAACCTGCACTGAAACCAGAGATGGAGCTGCCAGGCTATGGCATCTGGGTCACTGTGTTGCAACAGGAGGCCCCCAGACCTCTCGGGAAGGACCTCCAGCAAGAAGCCTCGGGGGCCTGACCCTGTTAACATTTGAGGGGCACAGGTCCTCAAGCAGCTCAGTGCTGGTCAATTTTAGAAGATTTGGGACCTTCTGGCTCTAATGCCAATGTTCAGTCCCAAGCAAGCTCTGAGAACTGCAGTTCTCATCTTAGACTTTTGTAATACTTTCTACTTCCCCAAACCATTTTTACGAACACTATCTTGTTTCATCTCCTAACAGCATGGTGGAGTAAATAAACCAAGAACTAGCCCTGTTGTGGCAGGTGAGAAAACAGGTTTGAGGTGGCTGAGTGACTTGTTAGGGTCACACAGCTAGCTGGCCTGGGCCTGCTGTAGACCTGGAGCTCCTGAACCTGAGGAAATTCCAGTAGGAAAGGTGGAGGGGATCTATGCACAGAAGAGTAAGAGGCTTCCTGAGAGGAGATGTGCTTCTGAGGTGGTGAGTCAGGGCAGGTCATCTAGGGAGTCCATAAGGGAAAGGGGAAAAAAGGAAGTAGTTGGAGGTCAGGACTCAAAGAACCATGTTCTAAGATGGGCCTCGAAGACCCTTGTCCTTATAATTACATCTCTCCCAGTTCCCTTTGGCAGGCTGTCTCTGGAGGGAGTGGGCAGGTGAGGAAAGGCTGAGCCATAGAGCAGGCAGGCTGCCTCGTCCAATGCCCTGACCACACCTTCCCCACTCCCAGGCCCACCCAGAGGAACAGACTCCGCTTCTCTTCCTGGGATGGGTTATCCTTGGGGAAGGAAGTGGTGGCCACAAATGTCTCAGGGTCCCCTTTCTGAAGAAGCACCAGCCTCGAGAAAGGCTGGACCCAGTGCCCCCACCTCTGCTTTCACTTTTGAGATGCTGGCTCCCTCTGCTGGTAGCTCCAGGAAGCGGAGTCCCTTAACTTGAGGGAAGGCCTAGGGTTAGGATTGATATTTTCTGAGTGCATATTTAGTGTCATGGTGTCTAGCACTGGGTAGAAGGTGAAGACTCTGTCCCTGGTAGTGATGACCCAGTATCGTCTGAGGGCTATCACTCTAAAGGGCAGGTAGGAATCCCCCCGGCTCAGCTGGAGCCTGCAAGAGATGGGCCTGTGATCAGAGCAACAGAATACTAAAAGTCCTGAGTAGGAATCCAGGAGCTTCCATTTAGCAGCTCTATGTGAGAGGGACTTCTAGGGTTGGAGGGTTCCCTGAGGAGGTGTTCCTACTTCTTAATCTGCCTGTGGCATTGCCCTTAGCACACCCATCACTTTGGCTGTAGAATTCCCTCTGGTCCTAGAAGCCCAGCAAGGGGGACAGAGAGTGCCAACACTTCTGGGTGGAGAAGGAGCAGGGGAGTAAGGAACCAGGCCATTCCCAGGCTAGTTTATCAGGGACCTTTGGTGAATTTCTTTAAACTGGAGTCATAGCACTGGAAATTGATTGCTCTGGGCAACAGGATGGGGGGTTGTGGGGAGGTTGCCTTGAGGGGCTTATAAGGTTCCCTGGCCCGATTTCCCCATGTCAACTAGTTCTGTTGCCTTGGCAGCTCTCAGTTGGTAACAGGCCCTAATGCCCAGAAACCCTGTGTCATCTAGACCAGACTACATGCTGGTGGCTGTGGCTGGAGCCCTCCACCCAGAGCCACTGATGATAGCAGTAGTCCTCTGGGGTGGGGGAAGGCAGCTGGGAACCTACTATTATAGTTGGGCCCTTTCCATACCTCAGCAGGTTTGATCCCTCCTGACACTCTCATGCCCTAGCCTGAAGCAGGCAGCTCAGTGTGCTCAGTGGGCAAGAGCCAGGGCCAGAGGGGCAGGGTTCTCCCCCACTGGCTGGAGAGGCCAGGAGGCTCCTGCAGATTCCCATTCAAGCATCAACTCCTCATTGTAGCTGGCCAAGAGGGCAGGCAGGCTGAGGAAGGAGTGGGACAGGGACCTATACTTATCCTGAGGCTGGACAGGTCATTGGTTAGTGTGAGACAGGACCACTGGCTCTGCGGTGGGGTTCCCCCACTGAGTACTTGGGGTCTGGCTGTCACATCTGCCCCTGACCAGCCCACAGCTGAGGTCCCTCTCTCCTGGAAACTTTGGTTCTCTCTCTTCACCATCCTTGTCTTGTGGGGCTGACCCTCTTTACAGTTCAATTGTGGAGCTTATAGAATTTCCCAATACACAAAGTCACTGTCCACTGCCAGCCCACAAGCAGCCCCCAAAGCCTCAAATGTTGCCAAATGCTGTGTTTATTGGTCTGTTAACACTGATGAGTATAGTTTCTGAGCCAAACAAACAAAAACCATACATACTCTGCCTCTCACGAAACCACTGAGTCACTAAGGCAGGCACACAATGGCCACCATGCTTGGTGGCAGCTAAGGACTCACAAACAAGGGGGGTTAGGCAGTGGGGCGGCTGGCCCCCAGGAAGGTTGTGCAGTGCCCAGGACAGGGGTGGGCTGGGGAGACTGTGCTGGATGCAGCAGGGCTGCTGGGCCCTTTCCTTGTTTCTCAAATGCCAGAAGTCTCCAGATCTAGGTGACTACTGGACAGGACCTTGCCCCTGTGGCAGAGTGGCCTCCTGGCCCCAGGGCAAAGCCTTAGCCTCTTGTGTTGAGTGGTAGAGGGGAAGTGGGGATGACAGAGCAAGCAGCGTGCCTAGGAGGTAGGCCCTTCCTAGCATCCCTATGAGTGATGCTCATAGGATTTCTGGGTCTCTAGGCTTCTCCACACCTTGAGATGCACGTGGCAGGCAGAGCTAGCCTTGCTTCTCACCAGGCACACACAGGGAAGACCCAGTCATCCTCCTCTTCCTCCAGATCCAGGGACTCAGCAGATGCCTGAGACAGGCAATGGGCTGCCCCAAAGCTCCAGAGCCTATCCCTAAGAGGATGCTATGGGAGGATTTCCTCCCTAAAGAATCACCCTGGGATTCCTCTTGACAGTGTGCGCTCCCACTGCATTGCAGATCATCTGGCTGGCTTAAGTGTCACTTACACAGTTGTCAGGGAAGCAACTAATGTATAAAGCAAGAGCCAGGTTGTGAGAGTGAAACCATACGGATGCATGTGGGCGCTCTGTGCAGGTGGGCAATGCACGGGGTCACCTTTGGTCAGGTGGCCAAAGGCAGTGGCAGTGCTGCTGAGGTGGGCTGCTCCCACCTGGGGCCCACATCTGACTACCTCACAGTCTCCTGCACCAGGGAAACATGCCTGAATTGGCAGCTGTTCTGGCTGCCCCCACTGGGGCTGGGGTGGGTATGTGCACTCTGCCTGCAAAGGGACTTGAAGAAGAGATACAGTGCAGAGTTGTTGGTTCACCTACATGACTCATGCCAGGTGGGGCCAGGCAGCTACAGCCCCGTTACTCTATAGGGCCCAGGCCGACCTAGGAGAGGCCATGAGGAGCAGTCCAGGCTGAGGCTGCAGGTGACGGGGGGTTAGTCTCAGGTGTTTGAGAGGGGAAGAGAGTAGGTGTCCCCCAAGGCAGCCACTCCCTGAGGCTGACCTCCCACCCCTGCCCTGCCTGGACCAAGGCATCCAGGCCCCCTGACTTGCCCTTACAGGGCCAGCACCACCTGGAGTCGAATCCCAGGCTCACAAGCACTTTGTTAGTAGGAACACAGGTGGGCAGGCGGGGCCAGCTGGGGGTCTGGCAGTCTCAGCTGCCCCACACCTCTCCCTGTCGGGCCTGGGGGCCCGGAGCCCAGGCTCTCGTTGGCTGCTGCTTCCCGGCCGCAGCCCTCACTTGTTCTCTATGAGCATCTGCACCTTGTGGACGAGGTCACGGGCGATCTGCAGGATCTCCTGGGCATCATGATGCTCAGCCCGTTCTGGGGGAAACACACATAACTGTGGGGATGCTGGAGCAGGGGCGCTAGTCTGGGAGGAGCCCTGTGGCTGCCCAGCCTGCTGTTTCCACCTGCTTCCTGGGAAGGGACTGGGGATTTCTGAGAACCCCTCCCACCCTGCCCAGGCCAGGAGTGGAGGCCCCCATGCCCCTGCTGGGGGCAGTCAGGATGGCTGGAGCAGCTCCTACCATTGAAGAACTTGATGATATCGGTGAAGTCCATATTGTTGTCCCGGATAATCTCACGGTAGGCCTCCACCAGGGCCAGTGCGATGAACAGGACAAAGTGCTCTGATGAGATGTGCCGGGCTGCCCAGATCACCTCCCACACAGCAAACACATCCTCATATACCAGCTCTGAGGATAGTAAGGAGCTAAGGCTGAGCCTGGCTCCCCAGGGGCCTCTGGATGGAGCCAAATGTGGAGAGAGCTCCAGGGCCCAAAGTCCTGGGATTCTCCCCATTACACAGAGCCTAGTCCACCAGTAGGGTTTTGTACCCCAGGTCCAGACCCTGCCTTTCTCCTCTATGATTCCAGCACACCTGCACTCTTGTCAGCTGGAGCAGCTCTTCTTTTATAGGCCTTGCTGCTTGAGATTTGGTTTGAAAACAGCCCCAAAACCATTGGCTAAGGTGATTGTTAGTAGCACTTTGGAATCACAGGAGCTCGTCAAATTGTGGATGCCTAGGCAGCCACACTTCTTAAGTCTGGTGTTAGGTGGAGCCAAGGCACTTGTGTGTTTAAAAGGCTCCCCAGGGGGTTCTTAAGTGCAGTTATGGTTAGTAACCACTTACTCTGGGGAGAGGGATCTCCCACTGCCCTGACCCTAGCTAGCCCCACCATGCATCCCACACCTCTTACCTCTCTTAAAATCCAGCAAG